ATTAAGGCAAGAGTTAAATGTCTTCACATGGATTTCACTAGATACAAAATTACTCACCCTACAAATATTTTCTGCTCTCATACTGGTCCTAAATCCACCTTATTAGTGTCTATTTTATTGGTCCTAATTCTGATTGCAAAATTTTAGTCTATAATACTATCTCCCTGGAAAATACCTATTGCAACAAGGCTTTTAGGAGCTTCTGTAACAGAAACAATAATCACAGAAACCATTTTGCGATCTTCAGACTATGACCTATATTATATAAATGTAGCTACGACAACAACTAATATATTCTTAAGATGAACTCTAAGGACTTTTTCCCTGATTTTGGACACCCACATTTTCATAACAAGCAAAAAGCTATAGCAGGAATTAAAAAATAATTAAAAACAAATAATGTTCTTTTGAGGTACAATTTAACTCATTTCAGGCTTAGGGGAAGCCTGGACTCCACTTGTGCTGCTGTGGGCAAGTGATCTATGTAAGTAAACGCTGTGTAAAGAAGGATAAAGGGAAAAAAAAAACCCACAGAAATATAATTAACAGTTTTCTTTTTGTTACACATGGATGTTGGCACTAAGTTCAATTACATTCTAGATATCTTCTAAATACAACTTCCTTTACAGTACTCTGTAGATTTTTATATATATGTATGAGAAGAACTTACCTCTCCAGTAACTGTTTTATATTTGAATAAAAATTAATGAGAATCAGTTCTAGCAGGAAAAAAATAGAATCTTCTCTATCCATGCTTTGAAACAGAATCACAAAGCATCTTCTAAATTACTTGTAAAGCTACAGCAAAGCATGCTGTTCAGTTTCTCTGAGATCCAGAAAACACCAACTTGTTTCTAATAAAGGATGTAAACTTCATAAAAAGCAACACTAAATACTGAGTTGCAATGATAAAAAAATGTTGTATGACTAAGTCCTAACTTAAGAAGTGGTAAAATTAAAAAAGACATACAGTACTTTTATCTGGTCTGATAACGATAACATTAGCATAATCATACATCAATTAACAAAATAGTCAAAAAAAGCAATTTCTTTTACTTATGTCTCATGATGTATAATTCCTACCAGGAAACAAATTAATTGCTTTTGGAATACACCGAAATCTTTGCCTCATTACCCCCTACATGATTCTGAATTCACCTATATCAGTTTCATTTTTATTTTCATATATATTCAAGAGCATTTTTGACTCAAAGACTTCTAATCATAAGAGGATTTCAAAACATTCCAAAAGACCTTAACTTTAAAGTCAACTTTTAACCATTTGAAAAGATCTTTTTCCAGAATTTATAACTATCTTTAACCCTTGATAGTAGATTTACAATGACTTCAAAGACATTATGTAAAATAGGCTCAATAACAAGAATAAATCTCTCTCCTCCTCCATCCTACCTCTCTATATACGTATTCTCCTTCACTGTAAGATCAGTTGGTTAAATGAATTTGATTTCTATTTGTCTCTAAGATTTTGCTTCTTTTATTCCACTAGCAGTTTTGTTCATAAAGTTAAGCACTGATCTGATACTTGAAAGTGAAAAAGGTTTGCCATGTGCTCAAAGACAACATTTGCCTCTTTAGTTATACCTTGTATTTCTTTTCATGGATTGACTCATCTTGCTCAAAAAAAGTAAAATACACATTTCAAAAAATGTGTCAACTTATTTTTCCTTTTGTTTTTCTGATGTTCCAATCTCTTGAGCAACAGGAGGTAAAGAACTGTTTAAAATAAATGATTCTACTTGTGCTCACCCAAGGCAGAGTTACTCAGTGGCTGATGGCTCTATTCAGCCTCTCTCATCCCAGCCTGTTGACTGGGTACCAGACAGCAGCTTCAACTGCATCACTGAAATCACAATAACCTTCTATGCCACACATGCAAAATACTAAGAGATTGAAAGGGAGAAAATCCATAGTTTTCAAGAACACATACCATCTTAAGGAATTGAAGACTTACTCATGGAGAATCTACCCTATCCCCTGAATAAATTATTACAGTAGTGTCCTGGTTTCAGCTCAGATAGTCAGCCAATGTTTCTGCAAACAACAGCCCGTATTTCCAATCTGAATTTTCCAGCCACATGTTTTTGTCTAAAAGTAGAAATTTTTCCCATTAAGAAATGCCTATAAAACGTGTCAGGACCAGCTTTTTAAAGTTGCTTCATTTTTAAATATAATCATGTTCTTTGACCTCTGCTGTAAAGCAGATTTTTCTGGCCTTTAATTCTTTAACCTCTGCTGTAAAGCAGATTTTTCTGGCCTTGAAGCAGTGTAGTTCTTTCTGACAATCCTTTCATATTTATCAATATCCATGCTGAAGGCCGAATAACAAAACTAGAGTCTGCAAGGAGAAAATAACTTCTTGGTACTATTCAATAACCCTCCACTTAGAGACAAGGATCACACTTTGTTCTCTCAGGCTACTACATTGCCCTGAAAACTCAGTCCTACCTCATTCAAATTCTAAGGTCCTTTTAAGAGTGCTCCTTTCTAAATATATTTTCATGTTTATCTACACTTTTTTTTTTCACATAGAGCATCTTACAAAGCACCTTCACAACAAAAAATTTATGAAATATCAGTAGCTTGATTTCAAGACTAACATAACTGAAACAAAGGGAAAATACAAGACAGATTCCTGTTCTGCTCTGTTCTCTCTAATCACCGTTCCCCACTATGCTTCACAGTAACAAATCCGCTTGAATTAAAATGCAAATAATGAAAGTTAGTGTATGAAAAAGATATTAAGAATTATAAATAGAAATTGAACAATTTTTTCTGCAACATTTTATAAAGAAGAGTAAGCTATGGGAGCAATTCATACAATTGTATGCAAGTTAAAGGGGTTTTTAGGCTAACACTAAATATTCATCTGATTTACGTAGAGCTATAGGAGCAAAAAACAATTCATACAATTGTATGCAAGTTAAAGGGGTTTTTAGGCTAACACTAAATATTCATCTGATTTATGTAAAAGAAAAACTACCATCAACAAAGATCTAGTTCATGAAATGAAACTTTTTTATTTATTGCAATTAATTCTGCAGAACTTTTTATGGTTTGAGTTTGCAATTTTCGTTTAGTCCTTTTGATTACTGTTGCCTGATTTGCTTTAATAAATTAAAAATTAATTTTGTATACCCACAGTATCCTCTTTCTTGAATTATACATATAAACATATTAGTTAATTCATATTTTAAGTTTATAGTTCAATGAATACTTAAAAGCTGGCACTACCACCAAATGAAGAGCTCTGCCATTTTTTCCCCTCAGGGTATCCCTGCCTTAAAAGCATTCATTCGTCAAACCATGGCTAGAGGCACCAAAGCCAATATTCAAATGTAACTGCAGGAAACTTTGTTTCAGGTTTCCTTTTCAAGTTATCTTTCATCTTACTGGTTTGCAGGACTTAAGGGAACACACTGTTATTTAAAACATATAGATCGCTTCTTTACCTCCAAATCCCTTCATTCGCCATCATGTAATAATATGCAGATATGAATTCTAATTGTATATTAAACTATCCTTTATCTTAATCTGTTTTCTTTTTTTAGGTTCCATTTTTTTATTTAGTTATTTTATAACCTTCCTTCAGGATAGTATCAGGGAATGCCACCAGAACATCATAAATCAGCCCCCCAAAAAAAAATTATAAAAAGAGGCCTATCCTGTTTTAGTATGTTGCAATGATAACAGAACATTATGACCTGGCAATTAAAAATATTCATGCTCAATATAGCTAACTATTTTAAAGAAAATGTATTAAAAAATTAATGATAAATGTGTTTTCACAAGCTCTCTATATTATGGCTTTTATTTCTAGGCATTCATATATGCTTCTTTAACAATTCCTACCTAAATTATCCATAAAGTTTGGCCACAGATATCAAGGAAAAATGAACTGCAAGTAAGTTACGATTGCAGCCAAGATATAATTCCAAAATTAACCACCTCTTATTAAGATATTTTTTTCCTCTAGAATGACAGTACAGAAGCGTTTAAGTGAAATGGAGGAAAAAGAAAAATTATGCTGCAGTGTAAAATAACTGCTGTTTTTGCAAAAACCTTTGATAGAACTCTCAATCTTTTAACATATTTAAACTAGAGAAACTGAACTTGACTTGTAGGAAAATCATGTTAAGCACAAAGAACCATTTCTGCCAGGGATGACAAGAGATGAGATGACCCCTAGTTCTCCGCACAGATGAGAACGTGCCTTACTAATCTTTCTATCAGACTAATGTCAGCTTGCTTATTAAAATTCACCCTACTTCCAAAATTCCAAAAACATGCTAATTTCTTCTGAACTAGACAAGCTTGGCTTTTCTGCCTAGTTAGGAGAGAACTGGACCAATAATATAATAAATATATATTTATTATCAGCTCATATAAGCCTCTTAATTCTTTGCAGAAGAGATTAGAATCCAAATTGTTTTGCTGAAGATAGACTTCAGAAACCTCAAAACTTTATGTTGCTAATACAACTAAAATAAAAGTGTCAAGTAGAGGCAATTTAATTAAAAAGAAGAAAGATAAATGTACAGATTTAAATGTTTTTTGCAAAAAGCACAATTTACTAAATTATTATTCTACACAGGTCTGCAAATTACATGAGAGTAATACTTTGAGATTATACAATTTTCTGACTTTTTGGCCAATTTCTGTAATTTACACTGATACCTTGTCGTAAGTATTCGCTTGTATGAATATTTTTGATATAAAATTAAAAATCAACTTCTGAAATAAACTGACATAGACAGCATAGTTAGTACACTACACTATTAAAAAATCTCCGCCAAAGCAGAGATATATTAGTAAGGATATTTTTTTCAATACAGTGAAGAAATGAAGTTTAAAACATGCTTATGTATGCAACTGCAGTCATTAGTTATGTATGTAAAATTAAAGAAAAAGGTATCTAAATAGTCCTATGTGAAAGAAGCTGCAAAAACCAAGGAGAAATTATTTGAGCTATTAAATCTTACCTGACCAGTGTCCAGTGGTGGTACCTGATCTGTCAGTACACGTCTCGCTCACAGGCCTAAAGACAGTCTCCCACCCGCCGGTAGCGTAGCGCCAGTTCTGAGACTCTAAAATGAGTGTTCGCTGAGTGCCGTAAGCGATCATGAAACAGTAGACGACATGATGGAGCTGACAACCATAGCCACAGCCTTTGTTGATATTACACACCAGTTTCTTGGCTTTGCTGCAATCCTTCGGGTTCTGTAAGCACGGATGAAAAAGCCAAGCTGAAGAGAAGCTATACACAAAGGCATACTTTTTTTCTGAACAACTGACAAATGTCATAAATTGCACGAGTCATCCTGCTATAACACAGCTCATATTAAAATGGATGAGCCAGCTTCAGCTCTATGAAAATTTTATGTGAATTCTTGACTGTGAACATGAACAGTTATTTGAACATACTTCACTATCCTAACGTAAAATAGAATACCTTCAGCATTTTAAATTACTTTCTCATTTGTAAATCTGTCAGAATAAGCTAACATTTGGACTGAGAGTTCCCATTTCATCAACACGGTTCTGGGTGTTGGAATGCTTTTTCCTGTGGCATTTTTCCAAGTTTGTTAGTTCTCTTTCAATGAGCATGAATGACATTCAGCAAAAGAAAATTTCCACCTGTCTACAGTACACGGAGTAAACCAAACTCTTATTAATGGACTGCTTCCCAGACTAACTGACCATATTCCAAATACAGAATATGAAACACATACCTGAGGAGACTGATAAAAGACAGAATTTGAATCCGCATGTGCTCTCAATACAATAATATATTACACTTCCACAGTCCAAGAAACAAGGAAGGAGGCAAATGTTTGTGTGATATGCTACGCTTAAAAGTACAAAGTAATAAAAATTTCTAAGTATGTGGACAACACACCACCATAATCCATGCAAGTTATTCTTTCTGTAAAATATGTATGTGATATGAATGCTACGCTTAAAAGTACAAAGTAATAAAAATTTCTAAGTATGTGGACAACACACCACCATAATCCATGCAAGTTATTCTTTCTGTAAAATATAGTATTTTGCTGTACACATTCGTATTTGCATGTCTGGACATACTCCTGCCTTACCAAAAGGCTTTTTATAAAATCTCTAGGATGAAAACTTAGTTTTTGCTTAAGCTTCAAGAATAATGATATTTGAGAATCAATATAGATTCTGTTCCTCTCACGTCCAAACAGCTTTAGACATTTTAGGTCTTTCCAAAATTAGGTCTTTCCAAAAGCTAACAATCACCTTCTGGAGAACTGAGATCTGTCCATCAAATGATCTTAAAGATAATCTGAATATTCTGAGTCATAAAAGACTTAATATAATTTTTAATTTGGAAGTACCAAAACTAATAAAACAAGCTACCTATGCATTTTTAACTAATGGATCCTTCCTGTGTGGATTATGTGGTGCCTAAAGGAGAGTAAGTGCAAACTTCATTCTTCTCCAGTTGAGGCACTAAGAGTTTCTTGCCTCTACCTTCCCTGTTTACTTTCACAGAAAAATCTGCATTAAGAAAACGTTAAACTATGACGCTGAAGAAAAGAATGTAGGAAGGTAACAACCACCATCTGCTAGATGCTACATTTTTGGGCCTTACTAGTCTGTCAGTAAAGCAGAATCTGAAACCGAATCTATTCATTGCTCTGTTTAATGACTTCCCCGTAGAAATAGACAACTACATGACTGTCATTATCTCCTTTCAATTTGGCTGATCACTAGTGTCACTCATTTATAATTAAATGAGTATATGTAAGTCAAATGACTGAAATTTAACCAAGTTAGTAATAAACATAATTTAAGGCAACTAGAAGACATAAAGTGTGTCAATATCATGAATTCATAACCATAAATCTTGACTGGATCCTTGTGGCCAGCAACACACCTCAGTTAAGCTTAAGGATACGGCCTTTTTCAACTGTTTGCCTTGCCAGTATCTAATTTTGCCTTTATCATCCCAAGATGAGACTTCTACAGTGTGCTATTCTTAAATCTAGTCAGAAACTAGAACTGGCAATCATGGCATTTTTCTCCTTGAGTAAGCAAATTATCAGGATTTGATGTACTCAGATTAAATACCAGAGAGCTTCCAAATAAACCTAAAGCTCCTGAGTGTACTATAGAAAACCAGAAGAGCTACAAGGTTTGCCCATTAGAGAAATCATCTCTTCTCCTAGAAATGCGCCCATACAGACACATAGCTGAAGTCTTTCATAAAAAAATAAATACTTCCCCATAAAAAAGTCAATGCTGATTTTATGAAGTCAATGCTGAAATTATGAGATATTTTTTTTCCACTCTGGAATTCACTTTTGCCTTTGTTTCAAATTAGTTTGAATTTATCAATACCACACTAGAACTGCCACAACACGCTACAAATTGTTTCTCGTGAGTCAAGTGGAATAACTGCAAAAAGACAGAATACATTCTGTGGAATTATTGAAAGATACAAGTTTACACTTTCCAAGACTTACAGTTGTGAAGGGAACATCCTTTTGCACATACACAGAGTGCCCAGAGCCATTTTTGTTGTTGTTGTTGTCATTTTAGCATGAGTACTTTTATTAGAAATATATATCATTAATTTTAATGGCAGCAGAAGAGAGAGGATTTAATACAGTTTAAGACCAAAAAAAATAAGTGACACATTAAATCACAAAAAATACTCAGAGATCCAGAAACCTCAGAATCAAGTCTTGTAAGGAACTTTCTTTTCTTTGCATACATACACAGCCCCAAATAAATTAACAGCATGAATATGGCAATCTCTGACTATTATAACTGATAATGTTATTGAATACTTAGTAACCTTTCTCTGCTTATATTTTTAAACTTCGAAGCTGAACAAAAAGTTTTGATTCCTCTAAAAATTGGAGGCAAAAATATTCTGCTATTGGGTGACTGCATGCTGAATCACAAACTTCCTAAAATAAATAGAACAAAAATAAGCACAAAAGCAAAAGAAAACAAACTGCTGCCTTCATAATCATTTACTCACTCTCCCACTTCCAGAATATACAGTACTACAGCAGCCCTTGTCTGAGTGCTCTTGCACACTCTTCAATCGTTTGATAATGAACATTTCTGAAAATACAGTCTTTTGCTTAAATATAAGTTCCTAGCTTTTTAAGTATTGCTCTAACTACAGGGAACTAGCTAAATGTAGCCTCATTAAATCAAATTTATGGTAATGCCATCCAAATGAAGTAGCAGTCATCACTATTCACAATCATTCAGCTAAATGATTTCCCAGGGAGATGTCCCAAAATAATGCAGCTGTCACTGTTCAACATGTACCAGAAAGAAAAGTTTATGGTACTTTTATTCTTCAGCAAAAAAAAAAATTTACAAATATGTTTGTACGGATAGTTCTTTCTGGCATGGAGCCGGGAAGCAAGGGTTGTTGAATTATTTTTTTAAATATAATTTTTTAATACAGTTATATTATGAATAGAGGTGTACATGTGTAATTTCAGACTATGGAGTGCTTTACATTGCATACTCACAGTACACCCTGCGCTCTTCAATATCCTGAAACTCACCCCAGAAAATAAGTTAACTTTCTTCCAAATGTGTAGTCACAGATATATTCCAGTTTTGGATCATTACTGGCAACAATCATTCACGACAGGAGACATTATAGTCTTCTGAAGGGCTCCAAATGCTTATGTCTGGCTTACTGTACAGGCAGCTTGGCCTCAGTTTTTTTCAGACAAAAGAAAGAATAAAAAGGAAAAGAGAGATGGTAGTAATTGTATATGTGAAAGACCTGTCTCAAAGACTGTAACTACTCATAAGAAAGAATATTTTCTGTCTTTGAAAAATTGGCTAGATTTCCACACCAACTTCGGGCAATGTTGCACACATGGAGAATTACCTGCTGTGGGGTTTGAATCTTCAAATAATCTTCAAAGAAACAAAGTAGTCATGGAGTAAGGGACAAAGTGCAATCAAAGATCAAAAACCAGGCCATGAAAGGAGCGAGAAATGGCAAATACACAGAAAAATGGCCTCTAATTATCTTAGCAGGAATAGTACTTTCATGCAAGAAACACCGAAGAACTGGTAAAGGCAAAGCCATTGAATGAAATTTCTAAGAAATTTTGTATTAGGCTAGTGTAGAGAACATTGTCATGATTTCCTTAAGAAACTAATCAAAATAGGCATGACTAATGAAAAGTGAAATTTTCTATTGGTAACTACATTTAAAATAAGTATAGCGGAAGAAAAAATATTCACATTTCAAAATCCAGCTGAATTAAAAATCTTGGCCATCATTTTCAATAATTCCATAGTGACACAAACTCAAGAGACCTATTACTAGCTAAATAATACCTTACACTGCATAAAAAACAAGCAAAAAACATCTTTTGGTGCTATTCCATAAATCTACTGTCATTTGTCAACTAGTGGATGCTCACTTCAAACAGCCTAGTGAAGAATTAGTGTTAAGGGAAAAACATCAGGAATAAAAAAATTAAAGGTATTATAAATTCTCACACAAATTTTAGGTATATTTAGCCTGAGAAGGGATTAATAAAAAGAAACACAGTTAGCTTATGAAAAAAAAAGAATAGTTTAGTAAGAAAAGGCTCATTCCATAGTTCTGTTTCACATTTCAATACATCAAAACCTGAGCATTCAACTCAGCAAAGACGCTTCAACTAACCTAAAAGACATATAGGATAAACAGGGTAATATTATTTGTTGATAAAATACGCAAATGACTTTTAACGTCTTGCTGCATATTTGCTAAACCCAAGAATTTAGTGCTATTTTGGATGAACAGTTACAATGCCACAAATATCAACTTTTATCAAAGCTACATTTTTTGGAAAACACTTCAACTTAAACCTCAAAGAAAATTAAGGAAACACATGTCCCTTCTGTATAGTTTCTAGATCCTTTCATGTGAAAGAGTTGTATGGAATTTGATGTGCAGCTGTGAAGCATTTATATGTTTTTTATTTCTATAAGCTACCAGTGATGACTTCTTAAAAACCAAAAACAATGTAATTCCCTCTGTAATGGGGAAGATACTAGAACTCCAAAGAAAAATAAAAGGAGAGAAATACTAATTTTCTTATGTGGTTCTCTACCTTACAGGATGAACCCATAATGATTAATTTTATTTTTTAAATGCATAAATCTAAACCTCCCCTGGCACAGCTTGAGGCCGTTTCCTCTTGTCCTATTGCCCGTGACTTGGGAGAAGAGACGGACCCCCCCCGGCTACACCCTCCTTTCAGGGAGTTGCAGAGAGCGAGAAGGTCTCCCCTCAGCCTCCTTTTCTCCAGGCTGAACACCCCCAGCTCCCTCAGCCTCTCCTCACAAGACTTGTGCTCCAGACCCCTCACCAGCTCCATTGCCCTTCCCTGCACCCGCTCCAACCCCTCAATGTCTTTTTTGTGGTGAGGGCCCCAGAACTGGACACAGCCCTCGAGGTGGTGCCTCACCAGTGCTCACCAGTGCAGAGGGACCATCACTGCCCCAGCTCTGCTGGCCACACTATATGCATGCTACATTAAGTTAACTTCTATACAGATAATGAAACACAGGGCTTGATCTTTCTTTCCCACTCAGGAAAAATGAAATCTTGCCCCTGAACCCCCCAGCAGCGAGACACAGCTCGCTGTCTCACACACACTCTTCAGCGACAGCTGCCAGAAATAACTGTTGACGATACCTGGAGAATCTCAACTCGCTTTCGCCAGCACAAGTTTTTCAAGGTGCCTCAGCCCTCTAAAAAGACCCAAAAGGGCGTTTTTTCCCCGTTTCCCCCCGCCCTTCCCGGCATCCGCACCCCCCGGCAGGCGCTCCTGAGGCGCTGAGGGGGCGCGCGCTCCCCGCAGCCGTTGGGGCCGCCGCCTCGCGCCCTCCCCCCTGCCCCCCCCCGCCCCGGGCCTGCCTCAGGGGGTCCCACACACACAAACACTTCACACCCGGCTCCTCAGGACGAGGAAAGATGAGAAAAAGTCGTACAAAAGGCATATTTATCGGCATGCAAAGTAGTTACAGTACACCACCGCCAAAGAGTGACATCAAAAAGGAAAGACTGGGGAATGGTTCTCAAGAAGGAGTTGAAGGAAGACAATAAAGTGATGCCTCCTGCGTAATTTACAGGGAGGTTTTTTTCCACAGAAGGGTGTCCTTTTTTTATTTAACAAGCAACAAATACATAGCTTGGTCACAGAAGAGAAGGTTCCAGTAGCTGAACTGTGAAATGATGAAAATCTGGGAAACAAATTCAGCCATTTGCATAGAGAAAAGCTGTGATACGAGGGGTGGCCATACAGAACAGGGCAGTGAGGTGCACAGGTGCAAGGAAAAACAAACCAAGTACAAATAAAACAGACTACTTCAAGTATCTTTTTGATATATAAACTATATAAATAGTTGCATGCATTCCTACATGACTAAAAGTCCCCAAAGAACAAAAAAAAGCTTTAAATTTGAGACACACATAAGCACATATATTAAAATGGCTTTATGCGCTCACAAATAGGAGCATCTCACAAAATGGCTGAAACTTTGTAGGACTAGACAATATATTTGACAAGCACTTCAATTTTGCATACTTTTATTATTAAAAATGAACTGCTTGTTTGGAAGTTTCATACAAGGACTTGCATATTTTTATTTTTAACACTGTTCAAACATATGTATTCTTATATTCTAAAGAATGAAAAATGAAAAACAGAGACTTATCTATTATAATAAAACAAAGAATCTAAACAGGTAAGTACAGCCCAGTGAAAAACACGGATTATAAAAAAAATCACAAAAACCCAAAACAATAAAACCCCAAATCCACAAAGATTTGCTTGAAGAGATTACAAAAAATCACAAAAACCCAAAACAACAATTAAACCCCAAATCCACAAAGATTTGCTTGAAGTACTACCATTCCATATACATAGAAAATAATGTTTGAAACCAACTTTCTAATTTCTTTTGTATGTTGATATACCAACATTCACATAAAACTGTCATGGAATTATTTTATAAAAAGGGAATAGCTAAGTGCTGTATGTAAAAAAATTAAAAAATGTTCACCTTGATTTAAAAGCTCTACCCTCTTACCTGTAAATAAGTTATTCTCCTCTGTACCAAATCTGTTAGATCTTTGGCCTCTTTTTCTCGCCAATCTCCTGCTCCATCTGTTTGACTGAGGTAGTACAAGTCGGTCATGATTGACCTGTAAACAACAATGGAAAATTATCTTAAAAAAATGGGAAACAATCTTAAAATTGGAGGATTAGATGAACTCAAAGAAAAATTAAACAGGTATTTCAATTATAGCCTCAAAACCAGTTACTTCATGCCACGTCCTACCCCACAATCCAAACAGGAGCCAAGAAAGACTGACTGTGTCCTCTATTTAACCTGCGTTCCATACCCATGAGTAAATCTAGTATTAAACAGGAGATGGGTTAAAAAAAAAAAAAGCCTCACAGGCCTGCTACAGAGCATTTATTCCTGATATGTGCTAAAGGAAACTAAGAAGAAAGACCAGTTCCATGCTCGATCCATTATCCAAAGGCCCCAGATGAAAGTGCAATAGTGATTCCTACAGTAGCTCCATAACATTACAAATGTCTGTAGCACAGGTACAACAATAATAGTTCTATTTTTATTAGTGAAAACTAACCACAGAATACTATTACAAGGTTTAGTAAACAGTATTTTCTATGGCGTGTAGCTCCTTGTGACTCTGGGAAGAAGGTAAGCATTCTGTCTGCTTAGAATGACTGCATGCTATTAATACTGAAATGGAAAAAAAAAGGAAAAAAATAAAAATTCAGAACTGACTCATGGCCATGCTACAAGTCTAGACTACAAAACATTAATTTTGAGGCACTGCCAAATATTAAATTGAGGTTATCTAATACACTAGAGATCCCTTTCTTAGGGTTATCACATTTCAAATGGCCAAGTAAGAGGATAAAGAACTCTGTGTCATGAGAAGAAAAATCATATATGACATTTGTTTACTGAAACTAGCCAGGAATTTTGTGAAAAACAGCCCGAAGAGTAACACCCAGGGAAAGTTTTTTTTATATCTGTGGCTTTGGGAAGGAAAGACAAAACTAGAGGCAAACTATTCAAAAATATTTGTAAAAACATTAAAGGCTATTCTACAAGTAACAGGTAGGCCAATTCAGAACCAATAATTTCAGGGTTGTCTTTATAGATTGAGAGTATTTAAAGTTGCTAAACACTTCACCATAGCAATGCTGAAATTTTAAGTTTGAACCACTTTTCTTAATTCTTTCATCTGAACTTGAGACGTTGCAATTTATTGCCTGAAATTCTTGATAAGCCAGAATTTTGATCAGTGGGAAGAGATGCAACAGAACAAAGGCTGAGAAACTTGGGAGGTGATAAAAAAAGAGGTGACAAAAAGACAAGCGTATTTCTTAACAACCTGTGAAGTGGTCTTGTCAGTGAAGTAATACAAGACAGTTGTTGGCAGCACTTGTTAGTACTGGAACCACCACCCTAGTTAGCTAAGGCTCTCCCTTGTACATAAGCTTAGCAAGTAAGAAAGGAGCAGATGACATACCTCTATTAGGCAACTATTTCCAGTGACACAATATTTTAGCAGTATATATCAAAATAAATCGTTGTGATAGAGATATCTTTTTAAGCAGACTTATCAGACAACCTTCTCTTGCTAGTAACTGTATTTATGGGTCTGTATCTTCCCATCCCCACACACTCATTGTTTTTCACACCCCTAGTTCTACACAGGATAACAGTGGTACTGACTTGCATCTACCGTTGCTGTATTAAACACCATACCCAAATTGTCCAGCAGCAGTAATGTTCATCTTCTGTCAATCAGTTGGAAGTACCATACTTACATTCAAATCTCAAACTATATAAATTGGATCTTCTTTTACAAGGTAACTGAGCCTGAAACACCCTACTCTGGCTTTGTGCAAAAAATAAACAATTTAAAGTATCATCCAGTAACTAGTTTCTAATCACTAAGATGCATAATACTCAAAATAAAATGCAAACACAGTTTAGGGACAACTAGAACAGAATTAATGATGCAGTAGATCTAACAGAGTGGATTATATATAAATAACTACACAGATGAATCTGCTTTTCTTAAAGCAGTGTTTTCCAATTTTTAGAAAGCATTACAGGATAGTAGGCAAATTAAAAAAGGAACTCATGCATTTTCTTGGGATTTAAATATATTTTTTTCTCTATCAGGATGCAACCATGCTGGATGTTTAAAGAAAAATTGTGTATTTCAGGTCTAAACATTCTAAAAAAATAAATCCTGTGCTATCATTAAAAGCAGCTGTGCAACCACAACCACATTTGAAACAATTTTCAAAAGTTCTATTTCACTAGGCTTAAAAATGTCTTTTCTGTACTTGTGATGTAAGTAATCAGCATTTCTCCTTTTATTTTATATATTTCTATCAAACCCTGTCATAAAATAACTGAAAATACAAAGTCTACCAATAAAAAAAAAAAAGGCTTTCCCTCTCAGCAGTTAAGTATTTTTTCCTATTTCTAAGGAAAAAAGTGCTGTCCAAATTTTATTTTTTATATTGTTGGCCATAGTGACCATGACAGAGCAAAGAGTTTTAAATAATTGAAAATAATTTAAATGATCAGCCTTGCAGATGAAATGTAATTATTTTCCATCATTTTTGAAGTAAGAGGAATGGTAAGAGTCCTTACACAGCCTCAACAACTCAACATTTTAGGGAAAGGCAGGTTTGCTTAGTGAAAGCCACAAAGAATATCAAATAATTTGTGGAAAATGTTATGAATTCAAGGAAGAGTTTTCAGATAGTATCCACAATCTTTTTTTTTTTTTTTTTTTAAAATAACTCTTATAAAACTCTGAAGTAAACCAGGAACTGAAAAATTCACAGGTGTTATCACACAGAAATGATTATAAGGTACTGCAATTTTAAAGCACTTTCAGTTGCGGAAACTTTCTTTCTTTGATTGCTCCTGCTATGCAATGTGCATTTTTTAGGTTTGTATCTGCTAGATTCTTTTGAGTGGGGCAGACCATCATGATGGGTTATTAATACAGACATAGAACAGACACAGAGTAAGACCAAAGACCAGAATAAGGCTTCATGTGGAGAGCTAAAAAGTAGCTGGACTGGCGATTCATGAACCCAAGATAGCCAAGTGCAGACAAAACATGAGACTGCACAGGATTCTTAGAAGCTCTCATGGGTGGTAAAATGGCAGAAAGGCAAATATTTAGTAAGTCAAACTTGGTCTTTATTGGTGTTACTAACCAACAATATCAATTTGTTGTTTTTGTTTCCTCTCATAAATTAAATCCTGGAGCTGTTCTTAAAAGCATTTTGCTCCTGGAAAACAGAATGGAGTAAAGAATGTGGCTATGTATTTTATCTGCATTTGACTGTCACAACTAAAGGAGGGAGGGCAGCCATTTTTAACACATCCTCAAAGATCAGTGTAGATGTTTACCCCTGTCGTATGACAAAATTACATTTAAACTTCCTAGAAACTTTACCATCAACAAATAAAGACTCAAAGAAAAAAAAAATTGTGGTATGTTCCACTAAATTCAAAGGAACTAATGTGAAAACAGGCCCAAACACTGCGTCAAAGCTTGGCCAGCTACCACAAAAGCCCTGATGACAGTTGTTCCCCAGGAAGAAAAGGGATGAAACTCAGTAACAACCACTTTGCAAACAATATAATGCCAACATAGGAAACAACCATGACAACTAGAGGATTAATCTGTTCTTTTTTGTTAACTCTGTATCAAATAGTCTTTCCACTGCTAAGATGACGTTACTCTTAACAACTCCCTTCTCTATGGCAACTACAAGAATACAATTACACATTCCATAATGCAGGAAACTCTGCATTGGACTATGTTGTTTCTTAAGCAGAATCAGTAGTGAAATACTGGACAAAACATCTGCCAAGACCAGCACTCCCCAAGGGAAAATCTACACAACCCCTAGGACACAGCCAAGAAACAGAATCATAGAATTGCCTCGGTTGGGAGGGACCTTTCAGATCATCTAGTCCAACCATTGACCCAACACTGACAAAAACCATCATTAAACCACATCTCTAAGCACTATGTCAACCCGTCTTTCAAATACCTTCAGGGGCAGTGACTCAACCACTTCCCTGGGCAGCCCATTCCAATGCTTAATAGCCCTTTCAGTGTAAAAATTTTTCCTATTATCCAATCTAAGCCCTCACCTGGTGCAGCTTGAGGCCATTTCCTCTTGTCCTATCTCCTGTGACTTGGGAGAAGAGACCGCCCCCCCCCCCGGCTACACCCTCCTTTCAGGGAGTTGGAGAGAGCAAGAAGGTCTCCCCTCAGCCTCCTTTTCTCCAGGCTGAACACCCCCAGCTCCCTCAGCCTCTCCTCACAAGACTTGTGCTCCAGACCCCTCACCAGCTGCGTTGCCCTTCTCTGGACACGCTCCAGAATCTCACTGTCTTTCCTGTCACAAGGGGCCCAAAAGTGGGCACAGAACTCGAGGTGGGGCCTCACCAGTGCCCAGTACAGGGGGACGATCACTGCCCCAGTCCTGCTAGCCACACTGTTCCTGATACAGGCCAGGATAATGTGTGGTCACAGGATACTGTCTTGGCCACCCGGGCACACTGCTGGCTCCTGTTCAGCCGACAGTCAACCAACACCCCCAGGTCCTTTTCTGCCAGGCAGCTCCAGCCACTCTGCCCCCAGCCTGTAGTGCTGCAGGGGGTTGGTGTGACCCAAGGGCAGGACCCAGCACTTGGCCTTGTTGAACCTCATCCCATTGGTCTCAACCCATCCATCCAGCCTGTCCAGATCCCTCTGCGAGGCCTTTCTACCCTCCAGCAGGTAAACATTCCCACCAAACTTGGTGTCATCTGCAAACTGACTGAGGGTGCACTCCATCCCCTCATCCAGATCATTGATAAAGATGTTAAACAGCCTCAATACCGAGCCCTGTCTCTCGTGACCGGCTGCCAACTGAATTTAACACCTTCACTACCACTCTCTGGGCCCAGCCTCCAGCCAGTTTTTTAACCAGCGGAAAGCACTCTTGCCCAAGCCACAGGAAGTTTCTCCAGGAGAATACTGTGAGAAACTGTGTCAAAGGCCTTACTGAAGTCCAGGTAAACAACATCCACAGCCTTTCCCTCACCCAACAGGCAAGACACTTTGTCATAGAAAGAAATCAGGTCAAGCAGGACCTGCCTTTCACAAACACATGCTGACTGGGCCTGATCACCTGGTTGTCCTTCATGTGCCACATAATGGCACTCAGGATGATCTGTTCCATGACCTTCCCAAGCACCAAGGTCAGACTGACAGGCCTGGAGTTCCCCGGATCATCCTTCCAACCCTTCTGGTGGGTGGGCATCACATCTGCTAGATGCCAGACAGCTGGGACCTCTCTGGTTTGCCAGGACTGCTGATAAATGATGGAAAGTGGCTCAGTGAGCACTTCCACCAGCTCCCTCAGTACCCTCAGGTGGATCCCAATAGATCCCCATAGACTTGGGTATGTCCAGGTGTTGGAGCAGGTCCCTCATCATCTCCCATTGGATTATGGGGGCTTTGTTCTGCTCCACACCCCTATCTACTAGCTCTGGGGTCTGGGTACTCAAGGAACAACTGACTACTACTAAAGACTGAGACAAAGAAGGCATTAAGTACCTCATCCTTCTCTTCATCCTTTTTCACTATGTTACTGCCTTCATCTGTTAAAGGATGGAGAATCTCCTGAATCCTCCTCTTGTTACTAATATATTTATAGAAATTCTTTTTATTGTTCTTAACATTCCAATTAATCCAACAAGAGAAATGCCATTTGCATAACAGCACCAAGATTAACAAAGAGCTCTAATACTAGTTACCCAGAGTCACAGCAACTGTCTTTAAGTCTATCATCTCTTAAAAAGCAGGTCTTCTCTATGACACAACAGGCTTTTCTCACGAACCAAAAACCCCAAATCTTAGCCACTTTCCCCACATAGCTATGTCATCATTTGATCACTAACCCACCCTTTTATCTGCTTTCCCACATAAGCAGGGCATTACAAACTGCCTTAAGTACTTATAATTAACACTAATCTTGCTAATCCAAATATTACCTTATATTATATATTAAAATAGCTATGTTTATATATATATATATAAATAAATAACATCAGCTTGACATGCAATGTTCTATTTATCTAAGACACATAGGTAACAATTTTTAAAGAAACTACCGTCAACAAAAGGGCATTCAGCAACTTGCTAAATCCCTTCAAAAAATCAAAAAGTCCATACATACTTCAAAAAAACCCACCAACAATAACAAAAAAACCCAGCACAAAACTGTTATTCTCAGAGTGAATGTGGGCATCTGGTTTGCTTATTCTAAACTTATGTTCTATTCCTTTCAGGAGAAGAGACCAGATGGACTATGTGGAGGGAAACAGAGATTACTCCTTCCCCGGGGAGATACCATGCATCCTAAGGGAAAAGGACACCCCCGAGACAGCAGTGCATCACAGGCCAAAGGATGTGCATACAAGGAGCTGGGAGTTTTCCTGTGCCTCATGCAGCAAGACTGAAAGATTAAAGGGAAAGAAGCAGACAGCCTGGCTTCAAAGGTGAAAGAATGAACTTCCTCGGGACTAAAAGCAATCAAGAAAAACATTCTGCAACACAAGGTAATTGCATTGCCCAAAGCCAACGTTATAAATACATCAAGAACACAGGCTGAATATTCTAGAAATATTTTTATACCTGTTTTCTCTTATGCAATTACTTCAAATTTCCATACTGTAAAAAAGAAAGGTCTAAATTTTATTTTAATAAAACCTGCTTTCTTGCTGTTTGGTTTTAGCTTAAATAGCTTTTAGTCCTCTTTGGGGACCTCACCATACAGGAAGGTCTACAAATATCTACTATGAAGACTCAGACTCCAGGACATTCTGCTTTTGAAAACCACTGTGTCAGTCTAAAGAATACTTTTATTCCCAAAGAAAATTCTTAAATAAAGAGAACAAAAAAAAAAAACCAAAAAACAACAAAAGAGCAGCAGTTGATTGCTTGTATCATATATAGACTTCTTCCAGTACCACGGTGGTTTCAGACTTTGACAGTGGGGTTGATCTCATAACTTTCCGAGGTTTACAATGAAGATTTTTATTATTCAATGCAAAAAAGTATGCCTTTCTAGGATGGGTTTCACCTTATCCTGAGGTACAGAAAGATGTGAAGATACAGCTGTCAAATATAGAAAACTTGCAAGTTGGGCTTGATGAATTAACCATCATTGGTGTAGGAAGGAAAGGAATAAGAAAAGGATTCATACTGGGAGGCAGGAGTGCAAAAACTGTCTGGCATCAAACACACACATCATTGGTGTAGGAAGGAAAGGAATACGAAAAGGATTCATACTGGGAGGCAGAAGCATAAAATCTGTCTGGCATCAAACACACAACATTATTCAAGGTTCTACTGTGGCAACTGCCTGATGTGATCCTGGCTATACAAACAGAGCAGTAATGTGTACACAAATGGTTTTGTTCCCATGACAAACATCAGTAAGTCTGTCATTAGACTATTTGCTCCTGTTTTGGCACAGATAGTTTAAAAGGTACATCAAGAGTCAAGGACCTGAAGTCCAAGAAGCCAAAGCAGAAATACATTCTCTGGAGAACGAATATTTCTGAGTGGAGGTAACTATTGAAACAAACTGTCCAAAGAGGCGGCAGCTTCTCTGTGGGTTGACTGTTTAACTGAAGATCTCAAGGCTTTTGGAAAATTCTGTTTCAGCCAAGCACTACTTTTACTTCAGTCAAACATACATAATCACACTCAGCAGAGAAATAATTGGATGAAATGTAATGGCTTATTTTGTATAGATAGTAACTCTCAATAATTGAATGGTCCCTTCTCACTTTAAACTCCATCAATCTGTGACAAACTGGGGTTTGAAATTGTGGAAGATTAAATTACAAAATTCAATGGACTAAATTATTTGCCCACATTAAAAATCAAATTCATATTACTTTTAAACAATATTTTAAGTAGTGCTTAAATTATTTCCAAAGAATTGAAAATCCTTACTGTTTTTCCTTTTTCCTACATGTCGTGGTATTATTTTCAAAGGCTCATGCCTTACTACTGATATGCAGATCTCAGCTTTTTAGGGAAAGAGATACTTATTTACCGTGGTATACTTAGTTAATTCAACTATTTTCTTATGACTGTTTACTAATGAGACACAAATTGCCATTGCAAGCTTGTTGGGAACATAGAGTTATAAACATAATAGGCTTACAGACAGAATTTACTGAATTTTTAACGCTTCCTGGATTAATTTTGTTGAGCATGAACAAACTCATTCAGAATGTTTTAGTATAATACAAAAGATACTTCAAACAATGAGGAGGCCAGAAGATCAACAAAAACTGAAAATATAATTCCAGCACATCTTTGAAAACATAATAATGACAATGTAATTAAAGGTCATTTCTATCTGAAATATTCTGTTAAATTGTACTCATGAAAAGAATTGACTTCTCAGAATGATGACCAATCCTGAAATTAAGATATTACCCAATTTTGAAGTATTTCTAATTATATAATATCCCAATGATCTATGTAATTTACATTCCAGTATTTATAAAATGCACAATCAGATGCCTAAAAATAAACATTTTCAAGGTTTATTTAATCGTTTTATGTAAAAATATGCACATATGCTCATATATGGACAGATGCAACTGAAAAGCAACAACAGGCATCCAGGATCCAGGTCTTCTGATAAAAAAAAAATTAAAATAGAGTATGACCCTTTAACTTGATATAAGCTGTAGTGACATAGGCTAGATACATACTTTACGTCCCATGAAATACAAGTAATAATTTTGTTTTCACACCCACATATCAGTAATTTATCCTAAGAGATTTTTAAACAGCATACCAGTAGTTTACTTAAATCAATCCATAATCCTGTCATGGTTTCAGTTGGGATAGAGTTAACTTTATTACTAGCAGCTGGTATCGCGCTAGGTTTGGGACATACAACAACATATATGCAGAATCAACTAATACAAGTACCTTTCCTGATGACCCAAATCAGACAGAAATTCATCAATGCGTCTTTGTAGTTCATTTCCTTCTAGATTTTTCAGTTTCTTCAACTCACTCTGGAGGAAAAACCAAAGTTCCTTAGCCCCATTTTCAATCCTCCTCCTCAAAATTTCATGGTCTTTTCCGAGGCCTCCTATTTAAAAAAAAAAAAGAAAAAAAGTATGAAAGCACTTGTAGTTGAATTATTTGTTAAGAAACCAATGCATTTGTGATATGGGATATCAAAACTCATTTTAGAAGTAAAAGAAAACTTATCTACCAACCATCTCCTGTCCTCTTCTTATAGTTTTCTATCTGTTCTTTGGCCTTCAAAAGTTGCTCCTCTAAAGCATGTACCTTTCCTGCAGCTGGTCCCTGATCAATGGGACCATCTGGTATCCTAGGATACAGAAAATAAAGAAGTTATTTGATTTATAAATATAATTGTTAATTGATACATTATTTGCATTAAGAATTCAGCTCTCATTTTTGTTCCACACTGTTTTGCTCTACTTTTGAAAATCATATTTGCAAAGCATTTGTTGGACTGATCATCAGCAAAGCCTGGTCAAGGGATGGGCCTTCACAAGACTCAAATTCTGTCTACTTTTTATATCCACACGTGAAATGCATTCTGGTCTTGAATGCTGGCCATATGTTCTCAGAGGACCAGAGCTCCAGCACTAACTTAAGTCTTCCTACATATTGGCACAAGATGATTTTAATGTACTTTCTGTCCCCAGAACAAGATCCTAGCTTCTCAATGATAATTTTTATTAAAACTCCTGTATTCTAAACTGCTGGTCACCTAAAACAACACTAGCAACTGTAACATCTCTGGCGTGTGAGCACAAGAGAAGTTTGGAAATACGTATCCTGAAATCTATGAGCCCTAAATCAGTCCTAAAGGTATTACTGGGGCTTGCTTACCACCTCAACTTGAGTTCACATTTTAATGAGCTGAAATTATTAAAGTATAGAAATTGGATGTTATCTTCTATTTGCCTCACAAATTAAAAATCAATGCAGGGAAAATAAAGCCCCCTTTCATCTGTAGGGAGATGACACCTCTGGTGGATACAATGGTTAAAAATTATTTCACCTTTTATAAGACCTTTGAAAGAGCTGACCCTGAAAAGAGGAAGCGGGTGTGTAATGAAAAGTCTGGAGAACTGTAAAGAATACAGAATTCTTGCAGAACATGAAGATGATTCTTCATTCGTAATGGAGTATGAGCACAAAGAGAAAGGGATATTGTCTCCACACACACTTATAGAGAGGCACTGTGAGGGAAGACCCCTTGCCAGCCAAAAGATGGCTCTAGCATAGAGCAAACAGTGGTTAGAGGGAGTATCTTCACACTAAATCAGAAACGACAGTGTTTTAAAGATCTTACTGAGACGTCATTAACTTTAATGTCTCTCAGATCTGGATAATTAAATACCAGTAAAACTTTAGGAACTGATGAAAAGTCCATTTTCACTGGGACACTTGAAGGGAATAAATACCTAATGTGCGCATGAGAAAGGCATATCACACAAAACATAGCATTTAAGTCCCTTTTTTCAGAGAGTGGGGGGAGAGCTGGAAGAGGAAGCTATATAAAGAAAGTTTAGTGAAAAAGTCTGCACTTAGAGCTACCTATTGAAAGCAAATAAGGAATAATTTAATTATTGCGAAACATCTATTTTGCTTTAAAGCTAAATAAAAAGCAATTCTCTGTAACTGTTCATATATCTGCTTTTTTATGCAGCGAGAGAAGAGTGACAAAACTGAGGAAAATATTCTAGTCTGAAACTTGTGCACTCCCTACACATACTCCCCCTCTGTATGAACAATCCATTTGTGAATTGTGACAGGACAACTAACCACAAAATTACCAGGAAAAACGGATTGTCTTATCTTGTACGAGTCACATCCCCTAAAGGCAGAATTTCTGAAGAACAATAAGGATACAAAATCATTACCATAAGAAATCTTCAGGCAGCACACACATCCCCTGAACATAAGGAAAGTCTGTTATAGTAGCAATTACAGAATCCTACAGAAGGATGGTTGCAGATGATATAAAAGAAGCACAATAATTCTGACCATATGATACAATTAAGATTTTAAAAAAGAAAAGTTCATGACATTTAACATTCAACTTGCTTAGGCATACTGCAATAAAAATTATTACTCTAATTATGTTGTTAAGATAAAGGAGCTAGGATGGGGACTAGGGGGTATTCTCCTAAGCTAGCTGTTTCCAAAAATTACATAATTTTAGGATAAATCTAAAATAACTTGTTCTTTTTGCAGTTTTGTCTCTACATCTATTACCTCATCAGACTTGGAATTGCTGTCTTCCTCACTTTCATCCAGTCTCAAAATTAAGGGAAAGGTTCTTCTCTGCAACCAGCACAGCTTGCTTGTTACTGCCCTCTACAAGTACATCAACTGAGCTGGAGATAAGGCAACATTTGAGGGAAAAGTGTTTGAATTAAAATCCTTCTCTATACTCATGGCATCATCTATGTAGGTAACTTCTAGTGCAGAATATCCTAGGAATGACACATACTTATGAATAAGAATTCCTGTTAAAAAACATACACAGAAGTTCTTATACCAAAATAAGTATTGGCAAATGACTTGCTCCTTAAAATTTCTTAAACTATGATTCTAATCAATAATAAAAGAGCAGGCCAGTAAGCATCTAGCACAGAATATACTCCACTCATTGCTATGGCAACATTGCTAATTACGTTATAAACACAAAATAAGCAAAATTATAACCCACTTACATGGGCAGCCATGATAATACACCACACAGTGGGTTTGCTTGGATTAATTTTCTCAATACTTACAAGGTGTGGTTTTTGCATGCTGTATCCCACCATTTTATAGTAAATAAAAATTATATTTTCCAAAATGAACTCCTATCAAATAAAGATATTAGTGTATAACTTTAAATAGAGTAGAGGTAGCCCATTTCTGCTTTGTCCCTTGTTTAGTAATCCAGCTACACTTTAAGACTGAATAAAGAACTCTGTGTACATTGTCTGTATCATGGAGGCCACTTTCTCATCACCTTCAGGTAACATAGAGGGGAAACAACAAAGTAACAGTCTTTAATCTGAGTCTCCAGAGGCAAACAGAATCACTCAAAATTTAATTCCAGTGACATTCAATTCAGCTGGAAGAACTGCCACAGTGTGTAAGATAATTGCAAAAATAAATTAAAACAAAAAATAAATCAGAAAAACCATTCTAACCTTTTCCTATTTCCAAGGTATTTAAAAGGTTACCCTAATTTATCAGCAAGAGAAAAAATGTAAGATTTCACAAGGTCACACTCAAATATTTTCTTATTCTTTCATTTATATCTTTCTGAGTTCTTTGTATGGAGCTGGAAGGTTCATAACTAACTAAAGTTACATTATGATTGGCTTTGCTGCTTTCTTTTTTTTTTTTTTTCTTCACAAGAAGAAACTTATGTGCAATTATTAATAACCACAAACAAAAACTAAAAGAACACTAGTTGTCACTTCAGCCTTTACAATAAAACCTCTTCAGTAAATACAACTGGAAAAAACCACTCAATGTTACTTGCAAATAAAGAGCAAGCAGCATCCCTTATCAATTTAAATCAGCATAGCCCTGATCGGTGCTGATTTATATCCACTGAAGCTGTGTCCCTTCCCTTAATTAAGAGTTGCACAAAAACCAATAAAAGAGCAGAGATGCACATCGTATAGATCAATGATTTTTCTCCTTCACACATTGGCCTGTGCAAGAGCCTCAGCTTCAAATTTGAGACACTTTAAATACATGTAATACAAAACAGTACTTTAAAACAATATTTAAATTTTTATCAACTCAAAGCTATTCTTTTATCCGAGTCCCTTTCAATGCTTATTACGGGCTTACTGGGCCCAGAGTAATTGGCAGAAGTACTTTAATAGATCTGCTTATGACTAATTGATTCCGAGTTTGAATTCCATCCCAGCCTCAGCGCCAATTACATTAAAGCAACTACAGTGATCGTTCAAAATTAAAATCCTACCTCCTCTTTCTGAAGCTACTCTGGGAACTATGAGAATAACGTCAGAAATATTGGTGTTTCATTTTACTTGTTTGATTACATTTTACGCATTCCCGCTCCTGTTCTACTTTGTAACACATGATCCTATTCAGGTAAGGAACAGGTTATCATATTTATTAAAAGAACTGTAGATTCTACAAAATGTAAGATTTAATAGACTGTAGGAAATAAACATATACAGAATGTGATGTATTAGTAATATAAACACAATATGAATACATTTAACATGATTCTCTATTTCCCTGAAGAGAAATCTGAGATTACTGGTCCCTATATTGCCAAGTTTATCTTCCAGGAGAGGAAAAATATTAAAAGATAGATAGATATATATATATGTATATATAAAAGATAAAAATTTGCCTATCACCCTGCAAGACACAAAGAAGCACATGAATACTATGAACCATTATCGTATTGCAAAAAATGGAAGTCTCAGACACAGATGAAGGCATAAAACTTTTCCAGCCTCCATTTAAGAAAATCAGACATTACAGAAGTAGTAATTTTAAGCTCTCCCCCTCCTCCTAAAAGCCTTACATCATCTAGATGCAACACTGGCAGACTTTAGCAATTATATCATAATCCTACTAGTAAAGAAAATTTTCAGGTGAAAGTACATTACAGATAAAAAAATGAAACAACATTATGTAATACTTTGATTTTATTATTACTCCCTATCAAGTTTCCCTTATATAACTACAAAAATTGTAGTTATCTGAAACAAGTGTTCTTGAAAAGGCTCTTCCAGTCCTACTGGATTGTCATGGTTTGGCCTCAGGCAGCAACAGAGACAGGTGGCCGCTCGCTCAGTGCCCCCCACCCACCACCGTGAGGGGAAAATGGGCAGGAAAAGGCAAAACTGCTGGTTGAGACAAGGGAGACAAGGGTAAGAGAACAGCAAAGGGAAGTTGATTTTATTATTACTCCCTATCAAGTTTCCCTTATATAACTACAAAAATTGTAGTTATCTGAAACAAGTGTTCTTGAAAAGGCTCTTCCAGTCCTACTGGATTGTCATGGTTTGGCCTCAGGCAGCAACAGAGAAGCAGGCGGCCGCTCGCTCCGTGCCCCCCACCCACCACCGTGAGGGGAGAATGGGCAGAAAAAGGCAAAACTGCTGGGTTGAGACAAGGGTAAGAGAACAGCAAAGGGAAGAGGAAAACAATAACACTGACAGAGGGATGTACAAATGTGATTATGGCACCATCGCTCACGCACCGGACTGAGGAATACCCACCCTGGCCTGCTCCCGGTGATGGAATGGGTATGGGTGACATGGGATGGGTATCTGTGTCCCTGCCACAGCCTGGAGAGAA